CACGCATACCTGTCTTATAGTGTACTGTTTATTTGAAATTTGGACCTTCACAAAGACTCTCATGGGACAGATAATGACCCTAGAAAGTAAATACAAATGAGGCATTCTCAGTGAGAGAGTGAAACCTGCCATCATAAAGGTGGAAAGCTGAACTTTTAACCCGTATTGCTTTACAGCTCAGGTTTCTGTGTGTTTCTACCATCCAATTGCTAACACCAATTCACCCATGGGAAGAAAGCCATAACAATAATTTAGGGTGTCTATCTTTGTACATTATGTAATGACCAGGCTAAAGAAAGTAGTGCCAAACTTCTGCAATTTCAGGATCCTCCATTTCTTTGCTGCGTGTCAGCCCCAGACTGTGCCCTATCCCTAAACCTCTGTTTTCAGCGAGGAGTGACGGTTGAGCGAAGTCCCCCTGGGTTGTGCTTTTGCACTTAACGGTGATAATGAAAATTCATAACGGCCACCATTCACGTATCTTGGCAAGTTTTGATATGTGTTTCTGTTCTCATGCCACATAACTGAAACTGCAGGTTTCCATGTCGAGTCTTGACAAGATGTGCCATGGTCTGTGAGTAGAAACTGAATGGATATGTGGAATTCAGAAAAACAGACAGCTCACTGCGGCAGCATCTTTTTGTTGCTAGTGAAATTTTAGGTGAAGTGAATTAAGAACAACAGGAACTGCTTTGAGAAGAGCAGCAAAAAAGGTCACTCCCACACTGTAGATTTAAGTGATCATAACCATTCAGTAGGTGTCTTATAATTAATTACAGGGATAGAAATCGGTGCCAGATGATCCCAATGGCTCAAAAAATGCACTAAGAAAGCACCTACATGCTGTTATACATTTACACCATGGTGAAAGTCAGTAGACTACTGCAGAATGAAACTGGAATTCCCAAATCTACCAAACTATTTTTGTAATGCAAATGCAAAAGGATACTCTGGACATCGCAGTACTGGTTTGTTACCAGCATTATAAACAAGGATGCTCAGTATGAGAGTTAAGAGTGAAAAATCTATCCTAATCCTGCTATCTACTATGCCCACCATTATAAACTCTTCACTTTGAGCGGGACCAAACATCAGTAGTGCCAGGACTATCCCTTCTGGATGTCACCACATTTCATGGAATCATAGAATATTTTAGGCTGTAAAAGACCTTTAAGATCATCAAGTCCAACCACAAACCTAATAATGCCAAGTCCACCACCAAACCATGTCCCTGAGCACGTCATCCGCATGTCTCTTCAGTCCCTGTAGGGATGGTGACTCCACCACTTCCCTGGGCAGCCCGTTCCCATGCTTGACAACCCTTTCAGTGAAGAAATATTTCCTAATATCCAATCCAGACCTCCCCTGGTACAACTTGAGGCTGTTTTCTCTTCTCCTATTGCTTGTCACTTGGGAAAAGAGACCAACCTCCACCTCCCTGCACCCTCCTTTTAGGGAGTTGTAGAGGGCGACAAGGTCTCCCCTGAGCCTCCTCTTCTGCCTCCCAGGCTGAACACCCCCAGCTCCCTCAGCCCCTCCTCATAGCACTTGTGCTCCAGACCCTTCCCCAGCTCCGTTCCCTTCTCTGGACACGCTCCAGCCCCTCAGTGTCTGTGCTGTCGTGAGGGGCCCAGAACTGAACACCCTGAGCTGCGGCCTCACCCACACCCAGCACAGGGGGACGATCACTGCCCTGCTCCTGCTGGTCACACTGTTACAGATACAGGCCAGGATGCCGTTGGCCTTCTTGGACACCTGGGCACACTGCTGGCTCATATTCAGCCACCAGTGGACCAACACCTCAAGGTCCTTTCATGCTGGGCAGCTTTCCAGCCGCTTGTCCCCAAACCTGTAGCATTGCAGGGGGTTGTTGTGGTCCACATGGAGTTGTTGTGACCCAACTGCCATGAGCTATCAACTAAGCAAAGTGAATGTCATATTTACCTCCTAACCTGAATGCTTGGGCTCAAATTGCTTCATTTAGGCCAAACTCAATACCTGGCAATTTTGATGCCGTAATAATCCATTATAATTCTAGCATTTTAGTATCTCTAGTTTCAGATTTGTTTAAACAGATAATAAAGACCTGCTGGTCTGTTGTGTTTGCTTTGCACCACCCCCCCATCCCTTCAAGTTATAACTACCACCTAGCAGAATTTTGTTTTTTGAACCATTACCAAAGGGTGTTTTTTAAGAATTTAGTATGTCAGTATTTCTTATAATTTTTTTCTCAGTTCATACTGTTTGCTTTGGGATAATTGCAAAACCTTAGCTTTTTTTATTTTCCAATTAGATGCTGATACATATTCCATTTAATTACCATTTGCCTGAATATCTTAATTTATTCATCTATCGAGAAATTCATACAAGGACCATACAATTTTTTCATGGCCAGCCTCACCAGGATCCTCAGGCTGATCAGTAGCTCTGCAATGCAAAGTGCATAGCAATTTTCTTCCTCAGATTTCCAAGCTATCATGCATTGAAATGATACCTCCAAAACTGTTGGAGCATCTCACAAATCCAGTTGGAACTGAAGCAAACTGCCCTTTGCGGGCAGGTATAATACCAGGAGTTAACTTGTCTGTTAAGATAACTTAGATTTGTTTCAAGTGAATTTAAATAGGCAGTATTTGCTATTTTAAACTGTTAATCCTGAGACATTGAGGAATGTGCCTGTGTGGTTAACAAATGGCATGGCACAACTCTGTCTGTCATACGTGCAAACGGAGGCTTCCCTGGGAATGCATAGGCAGCACTTGCACGCAAGGGAGAAAGGAGATGACCCCTTCTCATGGCCAACCTCTCCAGAGGCAGCTATGGCCAGTGCTAGAGAAAGGATCTTGAAAAGCTCCAAGCCAGTCCCCTTGAAAACATCCAGGAGCAAGAAAAGGACTGCTTAAACAGAATGGGCAGAAGTCGTCTGAGATGCCCTGATGACTGCAGACTTGGCAGGAGGATGTTTTCTCTCCTGTGGTAGCAATGGTAAATCATAGCTTGTTGTTTGAAAGTCATATGAGACGGGCTGGTGAACAACAGTTAGTGCTGGGGACAGTAACTGCTGCTCCTGGCCTAAGACTCCATCAGGATGAGGAAGAGCAGGACCTGGGAAGCACATGCACTCGGAGTCCAGGAGAGAGACAGAGGAGCCCTTACCCACAAAACAGATCCATAAAACGACAGATTTTCTCATGCCCATATTACGAAGTAAGTTCAAGTGCTCATCATTCTACACGCCTGTTAACCCTCTAGTTAGCGATTCACCCTCCTGTCAAGGACAGCGTTCTGACCCACCTCATTTTGTTATCGCATGGCCTGCAGGCAGAAATCACAGTGCTAAGTTATTACAAAGAGATCAGTTGTGAAAGCTCCCTGCAGTGCTTTTTCTGTATCATCCTGCTGTAGTTCATGGTACATGGCAGGTCTGCCTGCACAGGGGAACCCCATGTGTCTGGCAGCAAGGCTACTTAAGCAGGTATTTTAAGCTGGTTAAAGGCTCAGCCACTTAGAGTGCAGGAGGAAGGGCAGAGGTTTTTGTCACCGTTCCTCTATGGCTATGGACTAGGAATTTAGGACACTGTGCCACTAGTGTGAGTTACAGTATGTCCAGTCATGATACAGACCATAAGGGCTATACTCAACTCACTGCCACTACCCACTCTAGTGATGCTGTGCAGAGGAGAGTTCAGATCCAAGAAATCATGTGCCTTGATGGTTTAATCTCTGATGAAACAGTATCAAACCTTAGCACTATATTTATACTAATAATAAGCTACTTCAGTAATTTCTGATGGTTCTTATAGCCTTTCTGAAGGTTGAACATCCGGTACGTAGTTTTGTAGGTAGAAACATAAACAGAGTAATCCCACAATACGTTTATAATCCATGTCTAGAATAGATAAAGGAGATAAGCAAACACACAGACTTCGGAAGGTGGAATAGAAAGATACCAGAACTCTTCTGCAATCATCTTCATAACACATTTTTGCCCCAGATACATCAAGTGTTATTTCCCATCTGATCAAACCATGCCATACTTTCAGATCTTTCTTCCAATGTTTCCACAGTTTCTCTCTGTGGAAGCAGAGTTAGAGGCAAGCAAAATATATGGATGTTTTGTCTACCACTGGTATTCTGCTGCACTGAAAAGTCCCTTTCACTTGTATTTATTGTAGAAAAACACCAAAACCAATTTCTTAGTAGCATTATAATTATGTAGAGTTGGACAGCTAGACACAATGTAGCACTGTGTCAATAATTTATTACATCTTATGCCATAATTGAACACTTACTATGAGCATTTGAGAACAACTTGGACCTTATACAGAGTAATATAACTTGCTACATAATAATGGAAAGGTGGATACTTAAGAAAGATCCCTAGCTTGGAGGAAAACATACATGGAAGCAAACACCTCCTGCATCACCCAGCTCCATGTAAATCATAAAACTAAATCAACACGTTATATTTAATGACTCCTTTTTTATATATGCATAGTTTCAAGAGCTAATGAAAAAGAAATCATATTACAGTGTAACTATTTATACCAAGATGAAAGCACACCAGGACACAATCTTCTCTTCTAGACGTAAGGACTTTTCTTACATTTCTTAATGGACAAAGCACATGGGAGTCAGATGTAAATTCAGTCCCAAGAACACTGTTCAAAGGCTCAAAAAGGTCATATCCATAGCTCACTGATACCATATTTACCCTTTGCCTCTAGTCTAATGAAGGAGGTCTAGAGGTGTGGAGGTATAATCTTCTCTACCACGGACTTCAGTCAGAGCCAGTCTCCTGTTGCCAACACAAGGTCTTCAATCAGGCTGAATGACAGCATGCAAATGCTCCTGAAATATGTCCACAGCGGAAAGACATACAGAAGCCCTGGATTTATTGCTATATCCTTGTAAACAAACTTACCCTAGAGGTAAGAAATCTGGTTAACCTCGTTTGAGGAGAGGTTATGTTCAAGGTGTCATATTACCTTTCATAACATATTCACGTGAGCGACTGTTCTGCTACCTACAACCACATGACTCCACTACCATGTCCTCATACTGCTTGTAGACCACGTTGTTTGCAGAGTCAATGAAAAGAATGCTAATAGGACTTAGCCTGGTTGGGACACAGCATGTCGGGGGTGTCGATTCTGGGTCCATTGAGTTCATTAAAGTTTGGATAACTGCATGATTGGTGGGCTCCAGATGGGATCGAAGGGGGAATTCACAAAGACCTTCACAGTGATACGCTTCATACTCTAGAGGGGCTATTATCCAGTCATCCCAGCCCATATCCTTAAAATTCACGTGGAGGGCTTTTTTGCTACACCTTGCCTTCAGATTCTTAGTGGGCCTCTTACCTTGCCGTGTTGCGAGAGGAGCTCTTCTCTTCCGCCTCTGATTGAATAAGTACTCATAAACAGTCTTGTCATCTTGGCCAGATCTAGCTTTGATTTCATTGAAGAATAGGTCTCTTTTTTTTGTCCTCCCAAATACCAAAAAGAGAGCTTTTTCATTGACCTGTCTTCCTGTTCTATTAAATCCCACACTCCTGAGATCAACAGCTCTTCCCCTGTCAAAGGTTTCCAGTTCAAAACACAAGTTAACCAAGTTTTTAAAGTTCCTGAAAAGTTTCCAGATGTCAAACACTTCCCACTTTGGTGTATCTGTGATACTGACAGTACGAGAGTCCAGGAGTGTTGCTGCTTGTCTGTTTGTAGAGCAACTAAATAATTTCACTTGGGAAGTTTTTCCAGAAGAATGAGACTTCCACGTATCAGAAGGCTTTTTCCTCAGTATTCGAAGCTCTGCTCCCAGCAAGCCGTCTTTTTCTAATGCACTGATGTCAAAAATATATTTTTGTTTTCTTATAGTTGGCACTCGCTCGTCTAAAAAAAGCACACATATTTTTAAATGTATATCAAGCACAGATCACTATCAGTTATTCAGTTCTTAATAGTTTTCCTGAAGTTTGCTCCTAAGCCTAGAAGTTTCCTTAATTAGCCCACCAAACAAAAAGAACAATTTTTATCTAAAGAATCAGCTCTATGCAGGAACCCAGAAGAACTCAGTGACTCAACAGGGAAATGAGTTTGAGTTTGCGTTGTAGAAATCTCATTCCTTTCACCAGCAGGCATTTTCAAAGTAGCAATTCGCCAATTGAAAAATAGTTCCTTTTCAGGGCCAGAACTCACAGGGCCTATTCACCACTTACATCCTACTTAAATTACTGAAACAGGGCTTCAGTAGTGCCCAGGCCTCATGCTGGCTCCACACATGAGCAAATTTACCCTCAGATGATACAATAGTGAATTAGTCCTTTACAACCAACATCCCTGAGGAACTGCCAGACACAAGGATAATTGCCATATTAACTCCACACTATTCACAATTTCTTTCAAATTGGGCAGAAAAACATACCTGCCTTTAATCTGATGTTCCATTAGCTTGGTTAAGCTCATGAACAGCACTAACAAGGAATGTGGCTGAGCCAACGATGTGACATTAACAGTGCAACATTAACAATGCTTTCAAGTGGCATGCTGACAACCTGAATGCAGCACTTGTGAGCAGCATATCATCCCTTCCCAGAAGCCAAACTATTCATAATTAAATGGCAAACAAATCCAGTCCTGGCTGACTCTTCCATCACCAGTGGCTTATCAGCTGTAGCCCATGTTGCTTCCTTAAGTACATGACAAAACTCTTATTAACGTCACTGGGAGCAACATGGGGCACTCCAACCACAGCAGTAAGGTGAACATCACTCTTTAGGAGCCTGGTTATTTCTTGTGTGAAAGCAGCCACTGGTCCAAAGTCTGCGCTTAGCTATGGGCTTCTGTGGATAGAAGGTTGCTGGTACCTGAAAGCATGAGCCTCAAGCCAGTACAGATACACCCACCCTACACCATAATGACTCCCGGGTCTACAGTGTAGTTCCTCATAATTCTACCTTGAACAAGTCAGGCTGACCCTTTCATAATGAAACTTGTGGGTTTTTTCACAGAATGGCCCTGTTCTTAATGGATCATGTGGTTTTAGACGTACTTTACAATAAAATCTAATGTTAGCAGTTTCCAGGAGCTAGTTATAGAAAGAAAATAGGACAAAAATTTAAAAGGCTTTTAAACACCTAAATCACCTAAAGATGGATTGATTTTCAACAATACACATCCAAAATATTTTCTAAATATTTTGCTTGGCTGCCACACAAACCATCTAGTTCTGTCTCTAAATTAATTTCCCAAGATAAGGCAGGAGGACAAAACCTTCAGCAAAGTTGTATGATTTCATTAACATTAAAAAGAGCCAAGTTTTACTTTAACACAGTATGATTATTTTCTGATACCTTCTACATGTATGCACACACTCAGACATCTCTCTCTGTCCACAGGCACACACACAGAGGAGCTCCTTTCTTACCTTGTCCTTTGTCTATAAAGCTGGTTATTGTATTGGCAAGTCCAGCCTCCAGTTTTACACTTCCATTAACACCTTTTCTTTCTGCATCTGAGAGAGTCCTGTACAAAGACAGCATGTATTCATGTGGTGTTATAGGGGGATGTCTGAAAGTTTCCTTAGTTTCTCTCTGGGTTACAGGCTCTTTAGTCTTTTTGGTTTTGAAAGAATCAGTAGTGTCAGTACTGCTTGTGCCAGTTTTTTTCAAAGCCACCTTGCTGCCAAGATTTTGAACCTTTGGAGTCACTGTCCTTACTCCAGATGGTCTGCTGGGGAGTTGTCCTATCTTGCCTTCTGTGGCTGCTGTTCTCGAGACAACCTTCTTTGATTCATTGTTCTTGGCCAGCACAGCTCCAGCCTGAACAGCACTGCTTTTGGTCCGAGTCTTTGAGGTCCCAGTACTATATCCATGGCTTGCAGTCCTCACTATGCCTGCCCGTGCCGAGGGATTCCTCTCTTTTCCTTCTGCTTTTAAAAAACTTAGTTTAGATCCTGGATTACTCTGGCCTGCTTCAGAATTACTCAGCGCTCCAGGAACTAGATCCAGAGACAGCCAAGTCAAATGCCAAAGCAGTAAAGTGAGAAAATGCAGGATTTTCATCCTCTGGTCTTCCTCTGAATGCCGCTAAAGAAAAAATCAGGAAAGGTTCCTCCAGTTTGGCAGAAGAAAACATTAAAGAAATTAAAAACCAAAGTCAGCAAAAATGGGTTTTGTTTGAGATTAAAACATTTCAAATCTCGTTGTTCAATACTTGTATCCAGTCCCATAGTGGAAATGCTCATGTACTCAGATATGATCTCCCCTGACTTCAGTCAGCAGCTATAAAGAACTTGTTCTTGAAAAGAGAAAGTTTACCACCTCGTTTTCTTCTGTAAAACTGACTGAAAACTTGAAGGAGTCCTGTTTAAATCCAAGGGTTTTTTTCCAAGAAGGAAGAATGGCGTAATGCTGCCTCTGTGTTAAAAGGTTTTTTTAAAGTTTTGAATCCTTTCCAGTGAAAATATTTCACACACAGAGACCTGCAGGTGCTCAGAAATCTTTTACAAACCTGAACTCAGGAATTAGAAACGGAATTCCAACAAACCTATTTAATTACTCTCTGATGTCATGCTGTCTAAACTAATTTAACTGCGATATATTTCTTTAAAAAAAATCTTCTTTACCCTTTTCATTAGCATGAGTCATACTCTGCCTCATGTGAAACAGCTCCACAGGCTCAAAACTCCAGAGGATGCCTTTTCAAGTGGCAATACGACCTCTACCTTAGCCTTCGATGAACTTCACTTTTAAACTGCGAGAGCAAACACTGCGACCTGCCATACAGTTCACTGGACACATACGTTAAAATAGCTAAGTATCATTCCTTTAGCTCTTTTTCCGAAGAGCTGCAACGGTGGCTTCACTCTGTCCTCCGGTGACTGAAGAAGGGCTGAGCTGGTAACGGAGGCGCTTAGCAAGTGTAAAGTTTAATTTTTCACCAACACAACACGGCCACGCCCGCAGCCGGTGTCACTTTGGCGTATTTCTCGCCCCGCTTTGGAAAGGCAGCCTCAGCGCAGCTGGAGAAGGCGGGCGCGGCGGGGATGCGCGGGGGGCGCGGGCAGAGCGGGGCAGCAGTGCACCCTGCAGGCAGCC